CTGTAGTATGAGTCTCCATTTGCAATATATTGAGCCTAGGTGACCTTTCTTTGAAATGTGCACATGTGCACGTACACACATATGCACACACACACTTATAAACACGCCCCATGCTGTGGCCTTCTGTGGCCAAGTTAATACCTTGTTCTTGTCACTCCCACTTGCACTATTAGAAAGGAATGGACAAGCTGTCATTTTTAAATTATTCTTACTCCAAAAAAAGGTAGAAACGGAACCCCCAAATCCTAGGTTTTAAATCTCCCATATACATGTAAGCTTAGGGTTCCATTTTGGAATAGACTTTTAGTCTCCTGTGTTTAAATGAATATAAAAAATATGCTCAATAAATGAGAGAAAGGAATTAAATGTCCCCGAATGGGGGGAAATACGATCTAATAAATTCAGATGGTCTCTGAGAGAGTGTAAAGAAGAAAATGCTTTGTTGGTTTGNAAGTTGCAAAACAAAAATAATGGCTGTGAATAAAACCAGGTTCAACAGAGGAGATTCAAAAGATATGTATTGAAAATGAAAGCAGCATCAAACATTAACTGAAACAAGATACAAAAATACCAATAACTTAAAGATATCAAGGTGGATTAATAATTAAATTGGCAAAGACCAAGCCATAAAAGAATATAACAGAGAAGGCATCTAGAATGTTCTGGCACATTCTACGCAGAATCTCAGATCATATTTATTGAATGAGTCAGGAATCTGGCTTCAGTATATATGAGAATTTAATACATGACAAGATCGCATTTCAATTTATTTGGAAAAGCCTGATTAGATAAATAAAAGCTGGAGGAAATGGCTTTCTNAGAGTAGAAAATGTCTAAGAAAACCACCAACGCTCATACTAATGTATTTGGCCTCACAAATTAGGAAATACTTGTATAGGGAAGCTCATTAGTGTACCACTCTTAACCCACTGAATTTTTTCATCTAATACTCAATGTGAGAGAACACCCCGCAAAATGTGCACCTCTTGAACTGCTATTGAAAGGTAGTATTTGTGAATAATCTATTGACCTGGGGCTTCATCATCAAGACAAAAACATACTCAAATATGCTCCATCTTACAAATAAAAGTAAAATGTCCTGAATTGACTGCACATCCGTCCACAGCTAATGCTCAGTTTCTGCTCTTCCTCTAATTGCAAAGGTTCTTGGATCTAAGTACTGCTTTTGCTGAAACCGCTTTAAGTCTCCCACTCTCACTCTAAGCTCACTAATTGAGCTCACACTATTATAACATAATTGTTAACAATGGCCCTGCATGGCTGAGTTCAGTGTTCACATCTGTTTTTAGCATCATAAAAAATTAAAATAATTAATTAAAATATGAGCCACCACAGTAATCTCTTGGACATGAGTTAGGCTGGACTGGCTCTAAGGTGACCTCAGGTACATATTCATAACTTCTATCTCTCTGACCCTTTCCTGCAGTGTTTATTGGGCTCTCAGACTCACCTATATGGGGTTTATGAAAGGAAGTTCTCCATATGGAAGTCAGAAATTTCCTCTGATGGTTGATGATGGAGACTGAAGCTCTGTTTTCACACAAGACAACAGGAAAGAGTCAAGCATCACTGCCTGAGCCAGACATAAGACTCCAGAATAAACAACCATGTCCTATCCAGACCAAGGTTGCACATATTAAGAGGCTATAGCAGAGGAGATATCTACAGCCGCCTATATCTGCTCATTAGGCACATTTCCTCTTGTTATTCCATCGCCGAGTACATCATTTTCCTGTGGGACACTGTGTGCACTGAAAGGAGATTATCTCCTGCAGATTCTCTTTTCCCAAGACAGCAGTTGGAACATCAGGAGAATTCAGTCTTTATTGCTCCTCTTCATGAACTTACCTGCCTTCCAGAGATCTAAACTCCTACCACCTTACCCAACAATAAATTCATGTTTTCTCTAAAGTCTAAACTTGAGGAACCTGTCTTGATTCTTGGATCCCCCAAGGCCTTGGTTTGTGGTGGGGACACAGCACATGATATATCCAGAACATTGTTATTTCCCTCTCAACAAAAATGAAATTTGTGTACCTTTTTTTTTGTCCTTTTTCAGGACCGCACCGCGCTCTGCCAGTGAGCGCTGTGAGCGCACCGGTCATCCCTATATGGGATCCGAACCAATAAGCCAAGTCAAAGCAATAGTTAGGGTGTGTTATCATCCGGAGCTCAGGAGCCCATGCCAGGCTCATTAGCTTATTGGCAGGTTTGTTCCCTGTGATTGTAGGACTGACGTTCTGTTATCTTGCTGGTTGTTCAAGGAGGCTTCCTCTCAGCAGTAGGCTTTATTTATGTGGTCCTCTCTCAGCATGGCAACTTATTGCTTCAAGGCCAACAGAAGCATGTCTTCCTTGCAATCCAAAATGTCCATATTCAAGAGGAGGTGATTATTGAGGACACATATACCAGCATGTGGAAATCCTGGGGCCAGCTCAGAATTCTGCTTACCCCACCACATTAATAAGTTGAGAGGGTCAGTATACTTAACATGGCATGGAGTACTATAAGTGGCTATCTGTACAGAAAAATAAATGACCTCTGAAGCACACACCAACCATACTCAAAAACAGATGTAAATTCAATAATGATTTTCCTCTGATTAAAGCCCTTCAATAGTTTATGATGCATAAAAAGAAATTCAAGGCAGTGATATAATTCTTCAGGCACTTTTGTTTACCTATCTAAATTGATAACCTTCTGAATTCTTATCCACAAAACTTTGATTTTGTTCAAATATCAACTACTATGTGCGTGTCCACCACCAAATGGTTCATGCCACAGGAATGGTCTCATCTTACACCAATGGGTGCATCCCATAGCAATGTGCTTATTCATGCCAACAAACCCAACCCAATTCCTAAAAATAAATAGATAGATAGAAAGCAGATATTTTCAAATAAATGCATTTACATATACATTAATATCTATGTAAGTTTACTCACATATTTTAAATTTCATACATACATATTTACATTTATTGGCATATACACCTATATTACTATATCTATTTATTTACTATTAGGAATTTGCTCATGTAATTATGGAGTCTGTGGAATCACATGAAGTGATTTTTTGCAAGTTAGAGACCTAGAGAAGCTGTTGGTGTAATATAGTCTGAGCCC